TCGAATCAAATTCGCAAATTCTTTGATGCATTTGATACTTAGTTTTAAGTATTTCAGGATTAGCACTACGCACTACCGCGATTTCCTCTTACAGCTAGAAATATGTGATATAATTAAATATAATTAATTAATGAAATAAAAGTATTACAAGAAAATGCATTACAATTATTGCACTATTTATTTCAATTCGATTTTATTACTCGACGTTAAAAGTGCGAAGTGTTATTAGGTCATCGAGGGAAATTATTATCTGCTTGGACATTCGATTAAATGTTCTCGTGTATTATCAATGAACTCTAAGTTCATTGATGGTCCACGAGATAGAAAAGTTAACGCGAAATGTAAATTAATTTTTTAATAATTGAGAATTAGAATCATAACAAAATACGAGTTCATTTGCAAAATTAGTATGAAAGATCTTATCTTGCTTGCACGTAGGAAATGTCCAAATGCAGTTTTCAGGGAATGAAGAAAGAAGAGGCTTAATGCCGAAGAGGCCCCCACTTAATTGTGGCTCAAGAGGGCAACTACTAAGGCTATTGAGTTATTTTCAAAGATTCAACAGCAAGTTCGAACCTTTCGAGAATGACTCTCTAGTCATATTTTATATTTAATTCTATTATTTCTTTGCTCGTCATTAATTTCTAGTTGTAATTGGAGATGATGGACCATTCCATCTCCTTGGGACACCAAATTCGTGTCTATATCGTCAAAAAGATGCATATGTTTTTAGTTAGTTCGAGACAAAATATTTAAATTCCCCTCTTATTACATTTTGAAATCTAATTTTTATCTTTCGAATATTAAAGTTATCTCTCTTTTCTTGTTTTCTTTTTAAGATTTTTAGCTGTTATCGTATTTTATTAAATTTGTAATTTTCTCTTTTCTATATAATGCAGTTTAAAATTATTCTCTAGTTACTTAATACTTGTACTTTTACGTTTTTATTTTTTTTATTTTTTGTAAATGTAAAATCACACATTTAAATTCAATTTTATTGCAAACAGTAAATAGAGATTTGATAAAAATAAATAGAAAATTCAATTTGAAAAGTGCATCTGCGAATTGGACGATTTATATGTCAGGCAATTAGTGTATCACTTGATTGTATGATTAATATAGTTTTCTTTTTGTTACAGGTGATCTTCGTTGGACTTAACAACAAATCTTTTTGATTCTCCTCCATTTGATATATGTATGAATGCATTTCTGAAGGCACACATATAAACTCCTAATATGATATATATATATTTAAAAGTCCATAATAAACATGTCATTAAATACTTGCACAGGTTTACAACAAATTTTCAATATGTTTGTTCATAAAATGTTTAATTTATCTACATATTTGTTTCAGTTGTTAGAAGAAAAAAAAAGAGAAAAAATAGAAGAATAGTAAAATATAAAATGAAGGATTCACGTTGTTCGATGTGTCGTTACGTTATTGGCTTTTTTTAAAATTATTATTATTATAATATTTTGTAGAATTGCGCGTTCGTTTTATCGCATTGAAGAAATGATTGCGAAGGTCAATAGCGAAGTTGAAATGCCGATTGAAGAAAGATATATTACTCGATGAGTTTCCATCATTACGTATCAATCAATCTTTCCATATTTCTTAGTACTTTTGCAAAAGTAAATAAATGTCTATATATATATATATATACATGTATATATGTTAACATACTTATACAAAGAAATTGGAAAATGAGATCACAAACGTCTTTGCACCGGACGATATCAACAAAGATAAAAATAAGTATTGTACCTCGTGAGAGAAAGCGATGATAACAAGCCTATGGAATTTTCATTACGTCATAATAAATTTCCCCATAAAGTACAACGGCCCTATCAGAAATTTTTTTAAATATTTATATCCATTAATTACGATAGCTTTTCCTTATAATTTAACGATAATCTTGATTTTCCTACGTGTGTAGTAACTAGCAAAATAAAAAGGAAACTTACGTCATCACATATCATACGGACAATATAAACAAATAAACAAAAAAAAAAAGAAAAAGAAGAAAGATAAATAAACGTTTGTGTATATCTTTCTCTTTCTTTTTCACCTCGCTATCGAAGATAAAGCTAAAGAATAGGTAGACAATTGAAAGATGATATGAAAAACACGTAAAGAATTCCATATAGATTATCATCATCGTAAGTACTTACGATAAACAAATATCTTCAAAAGTTTTTTTCCATGATTTAGTTAACACGTCTTGCAACTTTTATAATGCATTACCGAAAATAGAAAAATAATGTGATATAAGATTTATTAAGATTATTATAATATAATGAATTAATATAAAAATTTTGTTTACTATTAAACCTGATAAAACAAATAGCAATAGGATATATTACATAGTTAAAATTGTAAAATGAATTGATACAATTTAAACGGATCAATTTTAATTGATTTATTACACCATTCCTGTTGGATGAACAAAAAAATAACTAATCTATTATTATCTATCATCGAAATAGGATTATCTGTTTTCTTTTTATACAATTATCTTTGATTTTCAGTAGGCAACCTCATTCCCTATTTTTCTTATCGATGTAAACTGTATTACTTACTGACGATTATTATTTGCAAATATCACAATTATGTGATATATGTAATACATAGAAAAAAACAAAAACAAACAAAATTTTATAATATATATATATTTTAATTAGGAAAAAAGAAAGAGAACAATAAAATTATTGATTTCATTCAATACCAAGATTATGGTAACAAAAAATTTTACCAACAATTTGTTTATTTGTTTACATAATTTTTTTTTATATAATTAAATGCAATAAATATATAATTAATAAAAAAAAAGGAAACACAGTATAATGTGGAAATATTGAAAAAGGAAAATTTACAACTAACCGGTCACGCGATGAGAGTTTAGCGTTAATAATTGATTTTAAACAAATTTTATCTTTGTCAATTATTATTTAAACAACGAATGGAAGTTTTAAACGAAGATGAAGTATCATAAATTTCATTTATTTATTTATTTTTTTTTTGTTTTTTTTTTTTTGACTAACGTGACTTCAAAGTAATTATAGTTATTTTATTGAATTATCTAACGTAACAAACATATTTCAAATACGCTTAACGATAGATTATTTTTATCGAATAATTATCGACCAATTAATAAATTTAACAGACAATTCTTTTTTATTATTATTATTATTATTTTATTCGGTAATATTTCTCATTATCATCGTTTATTTTTGCAAAAAAAAAATGGCTATACTATTACGAGACAAAAGGCTACGAGTATATTTTAGGAAGCTTAGGATTTATAACGTGTTAAAATAAACTTATACGTAGAAAAAGGAGTGTATTTTTATTCGATATATAAGCATATCATTTAAATTCGTTAATTCTAATCATAAATATAAAAAATTACGAAGAGAACATTTCAAAGGAATGCCAAAGGTTATGGCATTGTCCAAAATTGCATTCTTCCAAATTTTTATAAAAATCTTTCGTACAATTGACCTAATATCACGATAGACATTAATCGATTTAATACAAAAAAAAAAAAAAAATTCAACAATACTTTTTAACTTATTGAAGCACGTCAGTGCTTTTTTTTTAAAACAGTGTTAAATCTTTTTTTCTATACATAAATGTGCACAATAGGACTATTTGAGTTCCATCAAATATTTAAAATGATCGTTAAAATTCAAATTCCATTTAATTCGTCTTGAATTTCTTGAATAGTTTTCCCTTTGGTTTCGGGCAAAAAGAAAAACGTTAAAACGGTGGCTATTCCCATGATAACAGCGAAAAACCAAAATGTTCCGCCCATTCCTAATGATTCGGTCATCGATGGAAAAAGTTTCGTCACGCAAAATACCAAAAACCAATTTAAGGTAACAGCTATGCCAGAAGCAATTCCTTTTAATTCGGCAGTGAATAATTCAGCGGTTAACATCCAAGGTACTGGGCCCAACCTATCGCGTAAAAAAATTTGCAATTATTTTGATTGAATTAAATAAATATTACTAGGATGCTTTTGTCCATGCGTAGCATAACTTTATCCATGCTTTATTATAAAATGTTGATTTATTATAATTCTAAACTATTTAGAAAAATTATAATAACACACAAAATAATTCTACAATTACGAAGTTAACAATGTGATACTCTGAATTCGTATATATAAAAATTGTAATTAAATCAACAGTTTATATAAATACATATATATATATATGCATTTCATTCGTTTACTTACCCAATAGAAAAGGCGACCATGAAAAGTGTTAGTGAAACTAATGGCAACCAACCTAATGAACTAACGTCATCACCGTCATTTTGTTTTTTAAAATAAATGCCTAATGCTATGAGACAAATTGCTAAAAATCCTGATGACAACATGAGCAATGGTTTTCTACCAGCACGGTCAACGATCGCTGCTGCTGCACCGGACATTACAACCTAAAAATAATAATAAAAAAGATAACAAAAATTAAGCTCGTAAAACAAAACATGGAGAAAAAACTTTGAACGAGTTTGTATTATTTTCAATTCTTTGAATTCCAATTGGTAATAATTTTCATTAAAAACTATAGATCGTTTAAATGATTAACAAATAAATAATAATAATAATAATAACCTGAACTAATGATACGATAATGGCAGCAACATCGGACGGTAAAGAACTACCGGCTGCTTGAAAAATTTCTAAAGTGTTGAAAATAACTGCGTTTACTCCTGATAGTTGTTGAAATATCATACCACCGCAAGAACACATAAATGCCCTTCTAGAACCGGCCGTACGAAAAATATCAAAAATTGATGATTTTCTAGAATTCGATTCGTCTTTTGCTCTTTGTATTATCGTTATCTCTTCGCTTGGATTGTATGAATTACCTCTGAGTACTTTCATCGCTACTTCAGCCTCTGGTTTTCTTTCTTTACTCTAAAAAAAAAAAAAAAAAACAAACAATATTAATAGTCCAATAATTTATTCAAAACCCCTTTCGTTGACTAAAGTAACATTAATACAACAACTATATGAATGCAAATTACTCGACTGTGATATTGCAGAATATCAATTTAAGTATAGGTAGCTTATTAGATTTTCGTTTAATTGAATTTGTAAACAACAACAAAATGTATTTTACCACTAGCCATTGAGGTGATTCAGGCATCCAAAAGAATGTTGTCAAAAAGGCAACTTCAACGAGTCCACAGATGACAGACAATGTCGTGTAATTAACGAAAGATCCCAATACATTGACCAATAGTATACCCATCGTTAAAAATAATTGAAAGAAAGCACCCAATGTACCTCGGGTAGATGTTTCAGCAACTTCAGATATATAAGTTGGTACCAATACGCAAGTAGCACCTATACTTATTCCTACGATAAATCTGGCAAGGTACAACATCCAAACACGCGATGCTGCAACTATTATCAGCCAAGATATTATAAATGGCACTGCCAATAACATCAGAGATTTTTTTCGTCCCAACATGTCCGCCATTTTTCCAGCTGGTAATGCACCTATCATTGCACCTAATGCACATAAAGAACCAACCCAAGAACCTTCATCTTTTGACAACACCAACCAACTGTCGGACTCGTAAAGAAGTGGCAGTACTGGTGCTGTCCATGCCATTACTGTACCAGCACCCAATGCCAATAAGCATGCTAAAAAATATTCAATTAAAATTATGCTTTATTTATTATTCTTCAGTATTTTTATTAACGGAGGTAAGACCACTCCAAAAAGCTCAAAGCTCAAAAAATAATATAATATAATATAAATCGAGTTTAGATAGAGATAGAAATTAATTGTACATATGATTGACTGTGAAAACATCATTTTTACAGAATATATTTATTAAAAGAAATGGTAAAATAAATGGAACAAATTTATTGGAAAATTTTCTATCCGGGAAATCAACTATTATTTATCTTTTGATTTTCTTTTCTTTTCTTTTATTCTTCTACGTGTTTTTCGAAGTGGGTAAATATAATCCTTCTTGATAAGACTACGTGGACGTATTTCCGATGAGATATACGATAATCGATCAATTTTTGCACTTTCATAAAATATTAAAAATAAATTCAAATCAAATATATTATATATTCTTTCATTTAAAACTTTTGTTTGTTTTTTGAAATTCATTCGAATGGACATTGAGTAAAAAATTAATTAAAAAAAAAAAAACGATCGAAATCGTTAGACTCGTTCTAATGAAAAAAAAAAAAAAAAAGAGTAAAAGAAGAAAAAGAAAGATGTTTGATCAATGGTGTGTTCATTTTGATTTTTTTTAAATACCGGAAGTCGCAGCGAAGTATTGCCAAAGTTTGTTGCTATCTTGACGAACGGGTGCACCGTTTAACATTCCAGTTTCCTCCATGTTATTTTTACTTCAGATTTTTTTTTCCTTGCAGTCTTTGAAAAAACGACAAAGTACACTTTTCGATTTTTAGTTATCCCTAATTTTTTTTTGTCTTCTATTTCTTTATCGAATACCGATCTTTAAACCGATTCTTTACACCTTTCGATCCTTTCACACGGATCGAAATATAAAAAACTAATATAAAATTAATAATAATAATAAAAAAAAAAATGAGACTACGAAAAAAAACCGCGTGATTCTAATTAACTTTAGAATAATGAAGTTAATATGAATTATGATAATTGGTCATCACTACATATTTCGGATTAATCAAACTCGCTAGATGAATACCGAATGGACACTTTGAGAACGAAACTAATCGCATATCATATATTACATACTTGTAGCCACTATCTAAACCAACATTATCACTAATCTAAGTTATCATCTACCGTCATTGGAAAGAGGTGGAACAAAAACAAATATATATATATATATATATATATAAATATAATATATTATTATAATTAATAATTATATTTATAATATAATTAAAATATAATATATATTATTATGAATTAATATATTATGTAATTATATTAATTATAATTAATAATTTAATTGATTTTGTTCCTTTATGCGATAATGAAGTTCCAATTTTGTTTAAGAGAACTTTATCATCTCTCTCTCTCTCTCTCTATTACCTTAAAATTAATAAAAAAAAATAATCTCTCGATTGAAATTGATAAACAAATAAATAAAAGTAAAGTAGAATCGTGTCAATGATTATTTTCATTATTTTCATAACAGATAACATTTAATACTCATGTAATCTTATATAAAGTGGAGTAATTGCATGAACAAAGTTAAAATTGTAAAACTGTTTCATTAGAGATACTTTGTTAATTAATGTTATCACGACGTTCAAGTAATTTATTTAAATAAACTTTTGTTAAGACGTTGATACTCCTTTAATTACTTTGATAATAAATAGGTCGTCTTGTCTATATTTTACGGTGTTAGAAAATTTCTATTAAATCTATATGATATAAAAAATAATAAAAATAACAAAGTAAATTGGTTATGGTATTACAATCAAATACAAATGCAACACTTTTTAATATCCATAGGATAATTGTGCCCATAATTATGAAAGTGGTCTAAGTCATGTATCTCTTGTTTCGAAATATTTCAAGATTTCTATTTGAACATTAGATGAAATTCTATGTAATATTGAAAAAACAAACATTATCGAACGATTATTTAACAATATCGTGAAAATTACATTGAATTTATTTAGTTTAAAATAATGTGGTATGTAATAACTAATAAACTCATCTTTTTTTTTTATTTTTTTTTTTTAATTTTGACATAGACCACTTTCATATAATTATGGGCACAATTATAAAAGAACGAAATAATAAAGTAGGAGTAAAAAAAAAGATTGGTCACAATTATATTTTAAAAGAGATCCGTCCTATGAATACTTTTGATAATGGCAATGAAAATGATTCATCTGTCAACAAATCTTTTATGATAAATATTGAATAGTTGACTTATTGCTATCATAATTCTTTCATCTTTCGTATATACATTATCTATCTTTGATTTGCCAAGCGAGTTAAAAACGAGAAAAAAAAAGAGAATCAGGATAGAAAAAATTGAAGTAAAAAAAAAAAAAAAATATAGAAAAGTATAATATAAAAATGAAAAAAAAAAATGAGATTTATACTATCATTATCTCTCTCTCTCTCTCTCTTTCTCTTTTGCTTCCTCTTTTCATGGAAGCAAGCAAGCAACACGTTATCACAGCTTTAAAAGCCAATAATAACGAGTGTGGTAGAAGATTTACTCAACGATTAATGGCATTGAATGAACATCGATCTAATTGCAAATAGTAAATAGATATATTATATATATCTACTTATATTAAAACGTATACTATCGATATCGTGATTTAAACGGTGTTATCTAGATATATTATGTATAATATTGAGGTATATTCAAAGAAATGAATTGTAATCATATACAAACAAACTTTGATTGCAAATATATAAAGGGTATTTTTATTATTTTCAAAAAAAAAAAGAGAGAAATATATCTATGCATTCTTGTAAAACAAAGGTTTGTAATCATTCAAAAAAAAAACACTTGATTGCAAATATAAAGGACTATATTTATTATTATCAAAAAAGAAATATCGACGCATTCTTGTAAAACAAAGGTACACAAAAAACCTTACTTTTTTTTTTTTTTTCTATGTCAATGATACAACTTATATATATATATAAAATATATATAAATAAAAAAAAGAAAACGAAGAAAGGGAATTACAAAAAAAGAGAAAAATTAAGATCAATCTAAATGATGTAGAAAAGAAAAAAAAAGGAAAAGGAGATGGAAAAGGTGGTTGGTAGTTGTGTTGTGATATGGGTGTAAACGAATGTAACATACACAAACAAATCTCGTATAGTAGCAAACATGTATGAGTCTAAATTTAGGCGAATCATGGAATGATCTACGAAGAATATAACAAGATCTTATCAAATAAACATTACCCATTTGGACGATCTACGTGAGCTTCGCATACACATACATAAAAATGCACAAGGGAACGAATAACAAAAAAAAAAAAAAAAGAAACAATATCAGATTTTTATCATCAAATATGAAAAAAAAAAACATTTAATTTATTCTAAAAAAAAAACAAAAAAACAA